AGATAGATAGATAGATAGATAGATAGATAGATAGATAGATAGATAGATAGATAGGTAATAAAAATTAAAAAAAATTTTCTATAAGGGGAAAGAAAAAAAGATGACATGAAGAACTAAAGTTCTCAATAACAATGTGAATCATCTGGTCACATGACTTCACCTCATCAGTAAGTACTTCACCCAGGCTCTTTAGAAACAGAACAGCACGTGACCTAGTAATTCCACTCTGAGAGCTTTATCCAAGAGAACAAAAACCATGTCTACACAGAAACCTGCACACAAATGTTCACACGTGATTCCTAATAGGAAAAAGTAGAAATAATCCAAATGTCCACCAACAGATGAATTAACACAACATGATAAATCTACACAAAGAATAACATTCTGCCATAAATAGGAATAAAATGTTGATATACACTTCAACACAACAGACCCTAAAGCCATCCTGCTAAGTACAGTAAGCCACATACAAAAGACCAATTATGATCCCACTTACAGAAAACATCCAAAATAGGCAAATCAGTAATGCCAAAGGCATAGATTACTGGTTGCTTGGTAACCACTAACTACTGGTGAGAAAAATAAGAAGAGCAATTGCTAGCAAGGATGCTAGTTTTGGTTTTTTGAGAGAGGTTAAAAATATATACTAGAATTAAACAGTACCACAATAGCTGGAAAGATGGCTGTAGAGGAATTTTAATTCTGAACATGGCTGCTCTGGAAAGAGATCACTCCCAAAGACCTCCTACATCTGTGTGATCCAGCTGGAATGCATATCTTTAATCCCAAGAGACAAAGGCAAGCAGATCTCCGAGTTCAAGGCCAGCCTGGTATAGAGCAAATTTCAGATAAAGAAAAGCAGGGGTGCAGGAATGGTGGTGGGTGACACCTTGAAACCCAGCATTGAAGGGAAAGAAGCATGCAGATCTCTGAGTTCTAGTCAGTCTGTTCGGTCAGTTTGGGTGAGTCAGTGAGTTGAGAGGCACTGCAGCGGAGCTGAATTCATAGCAGTTCAGTTTGTGGAATTCAGGGGCACTTTTTACCATGAGAGTTTTAGAGAGAGAGGTTGAAGGGAGAACAAGCTAGACACAGTTAAAGACAGAGTGAACCAGAGAATGAGAAGGAGCCAGAAGATTAGAACAGATTGCTAGAGTCAGTCTGAGGCCAACTGGAGCAAGAAGTCAGAAGCTGAGAGAAGCCAGATTGAATCAGTCAGCTAGGAGAGGAGTTTGAGAGTTCAGAAAAGGCTAGAAAGGGTGAGCTTATCTGGGAGTAAGTCTCAGAGGCTGAAAACATTCTGGGCCTACATCAGATTGTATGAAGGCTAGAAGCTTCTAGGACTCAGAGGAGGTTAGCACCAGAGGCAGTAAGCCTCCAAGACACAACTGTATCCGGGGAATAAAAGATACTTTTTACAGATGGTTCAGTAGGTACCTATGCTTGCTGTCAAGCCTGATGACCTGAGTTCATTCTCCAGGACTCACATGCTAACTGAAGAAAACCAACGTGCACAAGTGGTCCTCTCCTCTGACCTCACACAGAAGCCATGGCTCAAGCATGCCAACAACATACATACATACATACATATATACATACACACACATACTAACAGAATACAACAGTGATAGCCGAATGATTTTGTACATATCCTAAAAACCAATGATGTACATTTTAAAAAATAAACTAGGGGCTGGAGAGAGAGTTCATGGGGTAAAGTACTTGTCATGTGAATGTGAGAATTACAGTTTGGATCCTCAGCACCCACATAAATAAATGCCAGGTGGCCATAGTCATCCTCCTGTAATTACAGCTCAAGATGCAGAGACAGGGAATCCCCTAAGCAAACTGGCTAGAGAGACCCCCCCCTCAACATATAGGGTGGAGAGCAATCAAAAAGACATCTGACAGCCAGGCAGTCGTGGTACACACCTTTAATCTCAGCAGAGGCAGAGGCATCTTGTGAGGCCAGCCTGGTCTGCAGAGTTCTAAAAAAATGACACCTGACATCAACCCCAGGCCTCTGTACGCACACACATGTACCCCTGCACATGTGATCATGCATACACACGTGCATGCATGTCCATATCACACACATAAACACGCAATAACAATGAAGCTAAAACAACAAATTCGAACCAGATCTTCTGATGACTTGGGTAGAAAAGAAGACGAAAGTACCCATAGGTGGATGTATACCACTCTCTCATGTGCCCATTCATAAGCTGGCCTTCTGAAGTGGTTATATCAAAATGGTTCCACAATATCACTAAGGCCACATGACACATACTCATATGCTCGAAAGAATAACAATGAAAATTAATACTAATTAAAATTTATGGAGCATTTACTATGCCGTCAGACACTATATTAAACACTTGGTACGGATGACCTCCTCTCCTTTCTCCCTGCAATCCTTTGAAGCATGTACTATCATCACCCTTAACAAATATATATGAGGAAACCGTGGCACAAATAATCTTAATATAGCTCAGGGCCAGTCACCCACCTACATGACTCATCCCAGGTAGCTAGATTCATCAATACTTTGCTATGCTGCTCCAACTGACTATACCTTCCTCATTTTTCAACATGTCTTTTTAGATGGGTGCTTGTGTTTAAACTTCTGTAGCCAAGGCTGTTTTGAACACCTGATTCTCTCTTCCACCATCCAAGTACTGAGATTATAGGCCTGCCCCACCATAGGGGCTAACCTAATCTCCAAATAAATAAATAAATAAATAAGTCACAAAATTCACGAACTTTCATACACTGGGCATAAAGCAAGAGAGAGGAGGGTCTCTATTTCAAAATAATAGTTACCTGAAGTCCAGCAATCCTAGGGGGGGGGGGGGAAGCTGTTTCTGTGTTTCTGGAAACATCAAAAAACTGTGGCTGAAACTAAATAGAAGGCTCTATTTCCCAAAAACCAAGAGCCTGGCATCCTGAGATAAAATTCTACACTGTTATCTTAAATTAAAGATAGGTAACTCAGTTTCTCTATGCTCAAATCTCAAAATTTAAGTGAGAGAGCTGTTAGCAAAAACAACCAAACATATGTATATGTATAGCTGTCTGTGTGTATGTGTGTGTGTATGTTGTGTAGCTATAATATATATAGTGCCTTGTGTGTCTAGACATATTCCACGAAATACTTCACCAAATAACCATATGATAAAAGTCCAAGGCCTAAAACGCAGGAGGAAGATGAAAAAGGGCATCGTGATCAAAAGAGACTACTTGAAAAACAGCATTTAGGAAGGGGTGGAAGGCAAAAGGTCACCACTGGCCTGGAGCTCGGAGGGACTAAGAGTGGCTTGTTCCTACCGTGATTAACGCGCCGGAAAATAAGAGCAGACAAGCTGGGTGGGTTATGTAACTCTCCGAAGTCAGGGGAACTGTCTGGACTTGACAGAATCAGGAAAGGTAAGCCATGCTTCGGAAAGAGTTGTGCAAACATCGTGTTCATTGCATATTCCTTAAGGAAGTGGCCCTGGCCTCAGAACCTGCTCACCAAGCCTGGATTCCCAACCCTATGTCCTGTGCCCTAATTTCATTCTAAATATTCTGTTTCCCTGAGGCACGACTTGGTGGAACTTTAATTTCACCAAATTCCTTTAAAAAAAAAAAAATCATTGTTTAAGGAAAAATAAAAATCACAGTCCTCTACCCCCACCATCCCCAGACCCACACTCGGGGATGTCTTATTTATGACTGCCTTTTTCTCCTACCTCTTGTGCTTATCCTTATATCAAAGTAACGTTAAAAAAAAATAATAATAACAACGCAAAGCTGTGCATAGTGTTCCCTCCCAAAGCCTCTTAACACATAGCTAGCGAGCGTTAAATTTCTCCACATTTCACAGCTTACGCTACAACGAACAGTCAATAGGCTGTCTGTCCCTGGTCCAACACGCGTTACTTTTTATCACAAGAAAGATCTCCTCACACCCAGTCACTGAAATCGACTTCTTTCGGTCAGGACTTCGGGTGAGCTAGCCAAACTTTCTTGCCGACGGAGAAACCCACACTCGCCCATCCTCATCCGATGGGGACCCCCTCTGGAAACTTCTCTTCCCAGCCTTGCCCCTGCACCGAACAGCAGCATCGCCCTGGGGGCACGAGCTGCCTCCGGGGAGCCGCGCTTTCCGAGCCAAACAACATCCGAACCAAGAACCTTAGGGCTTAAAACCTCTTATCCAGGACGGGCTGTGAGGGAGGCAAGGGGGCTCGGGGGGCGCCGCGGCGTGACCTCACAGAACCCCCTCCCCGGTTCAGAGGACACCCGGGGACCCCTCCACGAGGGAGGCCCGGCCGGGTACGCACCTGACCAGCGGCTCCTTCTCGGGCCGCGCGGGCTCCTCCAGGCACCGGCACGGGCAGCAGCAGCAGGCGCTCCGCAGCCAGCGGCGCAGCCCCATGGGGAGCGAGGCGGCGAGCCGGGATCCCGGAGCCGGGCGCGCGATGGCGGCTGGGGCGTGGGGACCGGGACGGGGGCGGCCGCGGCGTCACGGGCCGGGCCGTGCGCATCACGCCGCGGCCGGCCGCGGAGGACGCGAGCTGCGCGGTTTCTGCGGGAGCTCTTTTTCCCTCTCTCTTTTAATTCCCCGGGTGCCGCCCCAGCGCATGCGTCCCGGCGGCGTCCCGCTGCTGCCCTCTAAGGAACGTGCGAGCGAGCCGGCGCGCTCCGGCCGCACCGCAGAACCCCGGGGGTGGCCGCTGGGCAGCGGGGGGCCTGCAGCACGAGGCTGAACCCAACCGTCCTCTTAATTGGCTTCACTGCGGAGGAACTGAAAGGTCTTTCACAGCACCCACTTTGAAAAAGTGTTTTGTTTTGTTTTGTTTCTCCAAACTTCCAGCCCTTGAACAGTCCTCAAGGGCAAAAAAAATAATAATAAAAAAATATAAAAGCAACCACTTGTGAGTTCTAGAGTTTCTTTTTATGTGATATTGGGATAGAGTTGTATTTTTGTGAACTTACCAAGTGGGTGCTGGGAACAGAATCAGAGTCCTCTGCAAGAGCAGCAAGCGCTCTTAACTATTAAACCATCTCTCCAGTTCCCAAAACCCCTCCTCTTTTTTATGTCCAGACAGTAGCTTTACCCCACCCATCTTAATTTTTTTTAATTAAAATATAATTACACCACACACACACACACACACACACTCTCTCTCTCCTTTCCTCTCTCCAACCCTTCCCATGCGCACATTTTTGTGCCTGGCTTGTTTCACTCAGTGTCATGCAGTCTGTCAGTGTGTGTACCTTTCTGTCTTCCTAACCCAGACATACGATGCGATCTTATGGATGCCAGTGTGTTCTCTAACCAGATGGTGAACATGTAGGCCCATCCCAGCCTTTTGTACAAGGTTGGGCTGCAGTGCACATCCTTGAACGGATGAACTTGGGTGCATCTATATCAACTGAATAAAGATTTGGAGGCTAAATTGCTGAATCATAAGATACCCCTTTAATCTTGATGAATCTTTCCAAATTGCTCTCCAGTGAACAATTCCAACTTAGACTCTGGCACAGGAATGTCCTATCCCCAATACAAGTAACAAAGGGGTTTTGGTTTTTGCTTTGATTTATTTGAGAAATCTTTATCAGCTTTGTGTGAGGCATGTTTTAGGGCATGTGGATTGCCCAGTGAATAAGGCCAGCAAAAAAATAAGTGAACGTTTTACAGGGAGAGTGGCCAAACAAAATAAACACTTATCAAGTATGTTAAATTAAGTTAGTATATATTATAGAAAAACTTAGGCAAAAAAAAATGGGGGGGGGATAACAAATGCCATGGCAGGGTGCGTGTGCCTAGAGGTCAAACCTGGGTCTTGCTCACACCAGTCTCCACCCCTGGGCAACACCTCCAAGCCCCCCCCCCCCCCCCCGTGCTTTACTTTTTTGTTTTGTTCTAGACAGTGTTTTCTCTGTGTAGCCTTGGCTGTCCTGGACTTGCTTTGTAGACTAGGCTGGCCTTGAACTCACAAACATCCACCTGCTTCTGCCTCCCCGTGGGCTGGGATTATAAGCGTGTGCCACCACAAAGGGATCCCCAGTATTTTATTTTGAAAAGGTCTTATGTAGCCCAGGATGTCTTCAAACCCCTGATACAGCTGAAGACAACCTTGAACTTCTGACCTCCGGCCCCCACCACACAAGAACTGAGATTACAGGTAAGCTGTCACACCCAATTTCTGCAGTGCTAGGGATCAAACTCAGGGCTTTGTCATGTTAGTCCAGCACCATCCCAGGCAACTGAATATGCCTCTTTAATGACTTGGATCAAGAGGTTAGCATTCAGCCTTAATAAAGATCATGTCCAGTTTATGCCTACTTTTAAATTACTAATACTTTTCTCTCTAATTTGAATTTTAAGACATGAATGAAACAGTTGAAGTTCCCTTTTTAAAATTCTCTTAAAGTTCACCTACTAAAGGCTGACGAGATAATTCAACAGTTAAGAGCACTTAAGTGCTCCATTCCAGAGGTCTTGAGTTCAATTCCCAGCAACCTCATAGTGGCTCACAACCATCTGTAATGGGATCTGATTCCTTCTTCTACTGTGCATCAAGACAGAACACTCATGTACATAAATTACATGAACACACACACAAAAAAAAGAGTAGGTGAAAAGTTTCACTTATTATGTCTATTTACTGGAGGGGGACGGGAGTCTATGAGTGTCCTGACAGTTGTGGGCTTCAGAGGATAACTTGCAGGAATTGGTTCTTGCCTTCCACCTTCCCTGGATTCCTTTCAGGGATACAACTGAGATTTTCCAGCTTGCCTTTCCCTGAGCCACTGAGCCTGTGCCCTGTTTGTTGGCTCTTTAAGGCTCATCACCTCAGTGTCTGCCAGTGTGTGTCCTGCCGGGAGTTGACTCCCTTCTTCTCTCACTTCCATGAGCTGCAGGAACTACCGTGCTTCGCCCCCCACCTTCAGCTCTGTAGCTGAACACATCTAATGAGCCCATTTTCCCTCTCAGACATCCTTCACAGAGAGGCAGTGAGCTTCCCTTTTCAGAGCAATTCCCCCAACTGCTCTGCCGCCTGAGTTGACACCAGCATCACCAACCACACACAGTAGCATCTGACATTTACCAAGAGCCCCTGGGCACCTCATGTCAGGGGAGCTGGCAGTCCCCAGGGGCAACTGGTGACTCACAGAGCCGTCAGCTGCTTGATTTCACAGCAGAACTAGGAAAGGGGCCAGCCTCTATTTTTAGACTTCTCTGTGTCAAGGAAGACTCTGAGCTGTTTTGAAAACAGTTCGTATAGTTTGGAGTCCTTCAGGAATTTACAGACAATTACTGAGAGCTGGAAGGGGGAAAGGAAACACGCAGGAAGGAAAATAAGAAAAATTCAAATATTTAAACCTCAATGCTGCATCATTGGTGGATTCCACCAAAAATCTTTAGGGTTTCCATGGAAAGTTCTGTTTAACTTTTGTGGCTCTACTTAGGGGTTGTACCTCTCCAGGAGAGATGTGCTAAGGCACAGTGGAGAACCAACATGGATCAGAGAAATCACATCAAGAAATCCCAAGAGGGCAAAGGAGATGGCTCAGTGGATAAAGGTGCTTGATGCCAAACCTGGCACCTGGGTTTGATTTCCACGATAAACGTGGTAGAAGTGAACTGATTCCCAAAAGTTGTCCTCTGACCTCCACATGCACATCATGACATAGTGTGTGTGTGTGTATGTGTGTGTCCAAGTGTGTGTGTCCAAGTGTGTGTGTCCAAGTGCAAACAGACACACACACTAAAAACAAGATATTAATGAGACCCGATAGGCTAGGGTCAGATAGAAGGGGAGGAGGAACTCTCCTATCAGTGGACTAGGGGAGGGACATAGGGGGAGTAGAGGGAGGAAAGGTGGGATTAGAAGGAGATGAGGGAGGGGGCCACAGCCAGGATACAAAGTGAATAAATTGTAATGAATAAATAAATAATAAATAAGATAATATTAATAATATAATAAATAATATAAATAAATGTAAATAATTAATAAATAAATAATAAATAAGATATTACAGGCGTGGTGGCACACGCCTGTAATCCTAGCACTCAGGGAGACAGAGGCAGACTGATCTCTGTGAGTTCGAAGCCAGCCTGGTCTACAAAGCAAGTTCCAAGACAGCCAAGACTATACAGAAAAACCCTGTCTCAAAACAAAACAAAACGATATTAAGATATTTAAAGAGCCAGGATTAGAGAGATGTCTCAGCAATTAAGAGCACACACTGGTTTTGCAGATGACCTGTGTTCAGCTCCTAGTACACACATCAGGCCACTCACAACTGCCTCTAACTCCAGCTCCAGGGGAATCTGATACCACTGGACTCTATAGATAAATGTGCGCGTGTACATTACCCACACTCAAACACATATATGAAAGGCCAGGCCTGGTGGTGTCGGGGGACCGATGGTGGTTGTTGTTTTGTTTTCTCTGTGTCCTCCTGGCTATCCTAGAACTTACTTTGTAGATCAGGCTGGTCTCTGTGTTCTGGCTTGGTAGTATATGCCTTTAATCCCAGTTCTCTGAAGACAGATAGGCAGATTTCTTTAAATTTGGAACCAGTCTCAACTATAGAGAGAGTTCTAGGCCACCCAGAGCTACATGGTGAGACCCTGTCTCAATAATAATAATAGTAATAATAATAATAATAATAATAATAATAATAATAATAATAACAACAACAACAACGGGACTGGAGAAATGGCTCATCACTTAAGAGAACTCCTCTTGCAGGGGATGAATCAGAGGAAGATTTGACAGAATAGGATATGCCCAACTCACACAAGACCAGAGAAGGAAGGAGGACTTCAAGGGAGGAGGCAGTTTTACCAGAACAGTTTCACAAAGACAGGTTGCAGAGAGAGAACAAGTTACAAACAGATGAGGACAGAATGAACCAGAGAATTAGAAGGAGGCAGAAGATTAGAACCGATTGCCAAAGTTAGTATGAGGCCAAGCAGAGCAATTCAGTTAAGATGAAAAAAAAAAAAAAGCCAATTTGAATCAGTCAGCTAGGAGAGGAGTTTGAGCCAGAACAGCTGAACTGAATCAGCCATCCAGAGTTCAGTAAGAGCTGGAAAGGGTGAGCTTATTCAGCAGTAAGTCTCAGAAGCTGAAAACATTCTAGGCCTACATTAGATTGTATGGAGGCTAGAGGCTTCCAGGACTGGGCCTAGGATAGCAGAGAGAGGCAGTAAGTCTTTGAGAAGACAATTAAATCTGGAGAATAAAAGTTACTTTTACATAAAAGTTGAATTCTTCCCAGGTTTGAAATAGTTCTGTAAAGAGCAGTTAAGAGCACTTGGTGTTCTTCCAAAGATCTTGAGTTCAATTCCCAGCAACCACATGATGGCTCACAACCATCTATAATGAGATCTGGTGCCCTCTTCTGGCCTGCAGACAAAATATTGTATAAATAATAAATAAAGGTTTAGGGGAAAATTATTATCAACAGAAAAATGAACACAGACTATATTTATTAAGGTTTTCTCGGGGTATCCTTGGAGGGAAGTAGTAGCAAGCACTGAGTGTCTTGCAGTCTAGGAAAACACAGGTGATGGGGCAGAAGGGCGGAGAAGACAAGCAGAGAAACAGGA